TTTGCTTAAACGGGCTTGACTTCGGATCAGGTAGGGAAGGCGAGGGAAAAGTTTTCCCTCCCGAAAGCTTTGCAAAACTCAGAGCGTCTCTTCGTCTCCATTAGTTTTAGCCGCGCCAGCCGAAGGGTGATTACTCAGAAGTAAGAATCATGGGCGTCAAGGAGGCTTGCTCGAGAGTAAGGTGTACTTGGGGTCGCAGCCTCGGCGCGCAAAAGCAAGTGTCTTGTTTCCACTCCGTGGGAAAAATGTATGCGCGTGTCTGGTTACCAGAGGAAAGGATTCCTCTTTAAAAGGAAATCACTTCTTTAGGTGAAATCTAGTGGATTTCTGGAGCACGTGGTTCTCTCCCCTCCCCCGGTGAAATAAATGGTGCTTCAACACGCTTAACTGGGGGCTGGATCGGGTCCAGAGCTAGAAGGTTTGCATGCTGTTTCTAAAGGAAACTTGAGGAGAGTTTGGAGGCAGTGAAAACAGGATCTGACTTAAAAAAAAATAGCGACGCAACATGATGGGCACTTCAAAACTTATATTGTATATATCTCTCTAACTAGCCTTTGGTTAAAAAAAAGTATTGGGTTTGGGGAGCGGCGGACCCGAAGGACCCAAAGGGGATCTCCACCCGATGCATATTTACTCAGAAGTTAGCCCCACCTAGTTCAATGGGGCTTACTCCCGAGCAAGCGCGGCTAGGATTGCAGCGCAAACGTATCCATGCTTACTCAGAAGTAAGTCCTGCTGTGTTCCTTGTCAAGTGTGCACAGAATCTCAGCCTTAAACTGCAACCCTAAGACGCACTTACAAGGGAGTAAACCCAGTTGGACTGGGTGGGACATATTTCCGAGTAAACACTGAGAGGATTGCGCCGATAATTAGTAGCGATTAAAGCGGCTTCAACGCGCTTCCTTTGAGCTGATCCTGGGCGCTGTAATAAACGCGTGTAGCTGACACAAGCTGAGCTGCCGCTGGCTGACTGTCGTTAATAATAATACAGTAATAATAATAAAATATTGCACCCCGATCTCTGGGCATGTTTACTCAGAGGTTTACTCCGTTCAGTAGGGTTTACTCCAGGGCATGTGTACTAAGGTGTTAAATCACTGAAATTAATTGTAAAACTGAGATTGACTTAAATGGATCTGGATAGCTATAAAATAAATGAACAGCGCAGGTGTCCTATATATATGTTCTAATGTTCTTTGGAGATCAGCGTTAAATACCTTAACTTTCTCAAGTATTTTTTTTAAAAAAAGAATTATATAATTCTATCTGTTTAATTTTAAAAAGGGGGGAGAAGTTGATTTTACAAGCACTTTACCACCCTAAAGACATTTTCCTTACTTATAAATAATACTAACTTTCAAATGCATTTTGGTTTTATAACAAGTATGGGATTGGACTCCCTAGTAAGCTCAGATATCTCCATTGGGCATTGTGGAGCTTCTGAATAACAGAAGCAGAATTTGTAAAATGCGTATTAAGGCAAATGCACTTGCTAAGCCAGGCAAAATTGTTGCAATATTAAGCTGGGAACTTTCTCCCCCCCCTCCCCCGCCCAAAAACTTGCCCTTTTGATTTCAGTGGGAAAACTTAAACGCCTGCCGAATTCTTTCCCACTGATTGGAGGACTCTTAGTTTTAGCTGGCTTGGCCCATATATATTTAGAAACAATTGCCATTTATCCTCTCTCTCTCTCATTTTTAATTCTTAAGACAAAAAGAAAATGGGCGTCTTCCTTTATGTTTAGGTATATATTTTAAAATCCACATTAGAGGCTAATGCCTTTATTAGGTCGACCAAAATATCACAAAGCAGTGTCTAATATGGCTTTTGGATTTTTTTTTAACGGGCTAACAGTTTGCCTATACTAGCTTAATAGTTTCTGGTAAAATTAATACACCGCAGGCGATCGGATGCTATGTATTTCCCTATATAGAGATATTCCTGCAGGACTCTAAGCCGCATTTCCCCACATCTTGGCTCCCTGAGACCTGAGCTTCCAATTAATACTTCTTTTAGGGCTCGCTGCGATCTTTTTCACTTTAAATTTGAGCGAATTGCTTAACATCTCCTCCATTAATGAAACTTGAGGGGGCGGGGAGGCAATTACTTAATCGACGGTTCCCCTCCAGCCTGGGTTCTCCAGTGCAGAGTTGGTCCACTGAATGGGTCCCTCACGCGTTTAACCTGATGAAACCTCTGGTGGATGAATGGGGACTCCGAGCCACAGGACTGTCTGCGGAGGACCGCGTTGCGCCAGGATCTCGGAAGAACCTTCCTTGGATATTGGGGCGCATTCCTTCCAAGTAAGGCTGCGATATCTTGCCCTCCCTACGTGAGAATCAGCCCCGCCACAGCGTGGATGCGGGAAACCATTTTAGCGCCTCACGCGCCTGGTGTGCAGTTGCCGCAAAAGACCCCTTTGCTTGTGGGCTGGAGCATACGGACGTGCGCGTTCCCCCAGAGAGAATTTCCTTTGGGATTTTTGTGGTCGTCTGTATGGGCCCGCGTCCGTTGGAATAAACACGCGTGGACTCGGGTCCGGTGCATGTTCAGAACGACGCGCAGGTTGGGGCGTTGATTCTGTCGCGTGTGTGGGTGTGGGTGTGGGTGTGTGGGTGTGCGTGCGTTTCGTGACGTCATCGGCCTAAGTTCCAGGCTTCGCTTTCCCAGAGATGGCGTCATTATCCAGTTCCTCGCGGGGGTTTCGTTTGATTCTAATGAGGCTTTTGAGAGTCATCCGCCTGGGAAGGAATTGCCTCTGTATAAATGGATCGGGGCTGTAAGGAAGGGCGGCGGCAGACTCGAATAGATGTGCAGTCCAAGCCTCTGCATCCTTACTCCGAAGTAAGTCCCGTAAACTTCGGGCGGAGGTAAGGAATGTAACTTTCCCTTCCAAGGAAGTTTTATGAAATGCATTAAACTCATCTTAGGCGTAAACGCCTGCTATTCTAGTCACGCTTCACTTGGAGATCAAAGTCATTGAGGTCAAAGGGCTTTTGCTCCCGAGTAAACGTTCCTTATGGCTGGCCTACATAGCTCGGAGCGGGCGGGGGTGGGGACAGAAACGAAGTAGGATTTCCATTTGGAAACTGGACCCCCTGTCAAAGTGGGAACAATTTAGGGTGGCTGTAAACTCCCAGTAAAGGAAGCGGTTTTTATAAGATTGTCTTGGGAAGGGTTGAAGCAAGTTCATCAAGTCTGCTAAACTTTGGAGGGGGGGGGGGAGAGATTGTGGTGATAATTTGGGGAGATCTGAGTTCAAAATTCAACTCTCTCCGCCTAACCTCGCAGGCTGTGCAGGTGAGAATGAAATAACCTCGCCTTTCCTCCACGGAGAAACGAAAATACAGAAATTGGATAAGAACGATTTATAAACAGCAAGCTGTCCACAAAATTCTTTATTTCCTGGACAAGCGGGGAGCGGGGGGGGGGGCAGCCGGTCCAACCTCCTCCTCCTCCTCAAATTTCGAGCTCATTAGATCCTTGCAGTCACCGATCTCCTTCCTGCAAATGCTCAAGGACTGGATCTGTCAGGAATGGTTAGCATCACCTTTCGGAATACTGAGACGCTTTAGCGGCGGGGGGACGGAATCAATCGGACTTTGCGGGGAGGGCGGTTCAAAGGGCGGCTGACATCCAAATAGGTGTTAAAACGAATAAACACACACACCTCCGAAAGGCCGCTGGAGGGCGGGGAGAGAATGGGGGGGGGGAGAAGGAACGGACAATGCAACGGTGCAAGTTCCCTTATCTTTGTGGATTGGTCTCCAAACCGAAATTGGGAAGAGGGAGGGCGCCCGGGATCTCTGATTTCCTGCTTCTCACACACAGGTTCTAATCCTCCCAATTAAGGTAACCCCCTTCGCCAAAGATAACCGGAGGGGGAAGAAAAGAAAAAGATTTTCCCACTTCTTGCAAAAGTTAATTACTTGTTTGTTTAGCTTGCAACAAGCTCCCCCCCCCCCCCCAGTATTTCCAAAGGTCTTCGAAAACTGGGGGTCTTTTTTTCTTTCTTTCTTTTTGCCTCTAAATCTAATTAGCCCAAGTGCTAATTAGGGGGAAATTGCTGAAAGAAATCACTTCAGGCATGCAATGATAGAGGGGCTGGTGGTGCAGGGGAGGCGTCCCGTCCCCCCCCCCCCCCGCTTTTCAACCCCAGCTTAGATCTTCTCTAAAGTGGGCATTTTAATTCTAAACTTTTTTTGGGGGGGTTGCTTCTTCCCTTGCAATTGCAAAATCCGGGGTAATTAAAAAGCTTGTGGGGGTGGGGAGGTGGGGGTCCGGACAACAGATACGCTCTTTTGTCGTCGAGGAAAACGTGGAAGGGGTGGGGGCTGGAGAGAGGCTTTGTCAGCGGCCTTATTTATTTAGCCAAGGAGTTCTTTGTGTCTGCGAAATGGGCCCCAATCAAGTTTGGTCGGAGACAATGAACTACTTGCTAAGACCGGGGAAACGCAGGCGAATGCCCCCCCCCCCGGATAGCAATCCGGTGTAGCCATGAGTTTTGTGTGTGTGTGTGTGTGTGGTGTGTGTAGGGGGTGTTCCTAAAGAAGGAGGCAATTACTGTATATATGCACTGTAACTTTTGCGCGGGGGGGGGGGCGGGGAGGACCGCTGGGCAGCCACGCCGAGGGATGCGCCCGCAGTGCGCATCTGGCGGTTTTGCAAGCAGTTCTCCTCGACGGCGCCTCCTTTCAATCTATCTTGCAATCTATCCTTAAAGGGACCTTTTCTTTCCTCCCCGCGCTAGCAGCCCCTTCATCTCTTTCACTCTTTCTTTTTATTTATTTATTTATTTCGTTCTTTCTTTCCTTCTCCCCTCTTCCCCCTCTTTTTGAAAACCAGTAGACCCGGGAGCTCCAGTCTTCCTTCCGAGGACTTCTCCGCCCGCCCGACTCCTGAAGAAAACCCAGAAGGCGGGAGAGGAGGATCCGGTCCCCTCTTCCCATCCCCACCCCGGAATTTTGGCCATCTTTCCTCCACCCCGCCCCAACTTTAGCATGATGTCTTATCTTAAGCAACCACCTTACGCTGTCAACGGGCTGAGCCTCACCACCTCCGGGATGGATCTTCTGCATCCGTCCGTCGGGTACCCAGGTAAGCAAAAGACCAAACCAAACCGGGGGCTTCCATTCAGGGAATCGGGCCAGGGAATGATGGAGAGAAATTCTGGAAAGCATGTCGGAGTTTCCAGAGGGTACTTTCGGCGGGGGGATCCCGGCTAGATTCCGGAGTTGTGGCTGCCTGCAATCTTCGATGGATACTTTCCAGGCGTCCAAAATGACTTCCGACGGCACATATGTTTAAGCGCTCTAGGAAAAAGACCAAGGGAGATTCGCCCCACTCTCTCCATCCCATCTCCCCAAAATTAGCATTCCATTTCCCCTGGGTGCGACAACTTTTGCATAACTTTGCGGGTTTCCTGGACGGCGCGTCCCCGGAGACTTATCAGGGATTTATTTTATTTATGTTTTTTATTTTGATTCTGACTGCTTGCTTGGGGAGGAAGGGGGCTCCAAACTTACGGACCTGGAGATGACCCTGCGCGGGGTGGGGGTCTTCTATTTGGATGGAGAAGGGCTGAGGGCTTGTTTCGGGTAGAGAAGGGCTTAAGAGAATCTGTAGCCGCGATGATAGGATGCGTCATCCGCGAATGCCTCTCAGCCCGAATGCAAGCGGGCTTCCTCCAAATGCGAGTCCCGTCTTGTGTTCAAGTTTGTTTACTCTCGGGGCGGGAGGATCGTAGCCTAAGTTCTGAGCTCTAGCGCAAGGCCGGAGGTTGCCCTGATTCCAATGATTGCTGGGATTTTTTCCCCTTTCCTTCGCTCCAAGACTGCTTTGGGCTCCACTGAAATCCGCGCGGCTCACTTATGAGTAAGGCGCTCGGCGTCGCTCATTGAGGCTCCTCTGGTCTGCCGAAATCAGGGTGCAATCCCGTACACACTTACCTGGAAGTAAATCTCGTTAAACTCAACAGGACATACTTCTGAGTAGACGCGCACCTCCTCTGTTCACTAGGCCCACTTAACAGGACCTTAGGAGTTAAGGTTAGACTTGTGCTAGAACCCCATCTCCCGGGCATGTTTACTCGGGAGTAAGTCCCGTTCCCTTGAGTAGGGCTTTTTCTCCCCGGGTTGGCCGCGCAGCCCGATCCTATTAAGCAGAGGGGAGTCCCTACTTTTCTCCAAGGATTCCCACCCACCCCGGGGAACGTAGTTTCCTTCTCTGTGTGCGCAGATCTGGAGGAAGCCGAGCGCCTCCCCTTGAAAGCCGGGGGACATGCATAAGGATCGCGACGGCATGATGCGGTCCTAGCCGCCCTTCCTTGTTAGGAAATCCTAGTGAATTCCCTGGAGCTTACCCCTGAGTAGACGTGCTATCGGAGCCCTGCCGCGAGCGTTGTGTTTACTCTAGAAGAAGCCTCCTGGCGTATCGGTTGGGGACTCGTTCACGTGGGAAACGTGTTTGGCCTCGGGATTGCCCAAAGCCTCCTTCTTAACGGTCTTGTGGATGGGCACGCGCACGAGGCGAGTTTGCCAGTCGGGTGGGGTGGTGGTGGTGGTGGTCTCGCGAGCTTCTTCCCCTGAACCCCTGCGGACCTTTTCTTTCCCCAGCCACCCCTCGGAAGCAGCGGAGGGAGCGCACCACTTTCACCCGGGCGCAGCTGGACGTGCTGGAGGCCCTCTTCGCCAAGACCCGCTACCCGGACATCTTCATGCGAGAGGAGGTTGCGCTCAAAATCAATCTCCCCGAGTCCAGAGTCCAGGTAAGCCGAGGAGGTGGTGGTGGCGGCGGCGGTACTGCTGCTTGTGGGGTTAGGGCTCTCCCTGTCTGAAGGGCCGTAGCTCAGAGGTAGAGCATCTGCCTTGCTTGTGAGAAGTCCCAGGTTCAAATCCCGGCATCTCCAGGGGGAGAGAGAGACTCCTGCCTGCAACTGCCTCCACCGGTCAGTGCAGTAGACAATGTTCCGCTTCTCTAGCACCCCAGAGGTATGTATAGAACAAAGCGAGGAAGCATAGGATGTCGTCTTATACTGAATCAGACCACTGGTCCATCTAGCTCCATATTGTCTACACGGGCTGGCAGCAGCTCTCCAAGGTTTCAGGCAGGAGACACTCCCAGCCCTCCCTGGGGATGCCTGAACCTGGGACCTCCTGCATATAGATCAGATGCTGTGCCACTTGGCTGCAGACCATCCCCAATAGTCCTTGCTTCCAGTGTAACACCCATGCCAAAAAAGTGAAGGCAGATTAAACAGTGGACACACACACCCATTTCAGATTAATGTGGTGGGCAGCGGTCAAGAGGTTTGAATAGGAGAGAGATAAATTTGATAGGCCTTCGTCTCTCATCCTGTCTCTACCTCCTCACTCACAACAGTCCTGTGCAATAGGACATGTGGTTACCATTCAGGAGAGCTTGTGTGGGTTGTGTGGGTCTTCACGATGGCTCGAGTTTGACGTACCAGGGTGCCGTGTCTGATTTCCAGGAGGGTGAGGTGGAAGAGTCCCAGCAAGACTTTAAGCAGATATACGTACAATCTGAAGGCACACGCGGTCACTGTTTTGCTTTGCTGTTATTAATAAGATCTGGGGCTGGTCAGTGCCTGCCTGGGAACCACATCAAGATGCCACCTTGTGTTTCACAAGGAAGGAAGAGCAGGATATAAAAGTTAAAATACAGCAACAAAAAAATAAATAAATTTTGGAATCTTTGATTGCTTTCCCAAACCTCATACAACTTACAGCAGGGTTACTCATTCACGTTTTGTAACCTGCCTATTTTGAGAAAAAGAAAACTCACACATTTAATTGATTATAAGAGAAGGGAGCTAAGTAGTCATTAATCCAGCTAACTTCTGAAACGCAGGGTGGGGAGGGGCACCCATCAAGTCTCCCCAAATGATGGCCCTGAAATGTAGACCTTGAAAGCACAAACCTAGCATGCTTTCCCTCCCCCCGCCCGCCCCCCAAGCTCCTGGTTTTATTCCCACTTCTTAAGACACTACATTATATATAAAAAAAGAGTTTAAATCTAGGATGATTTCTGCACGTATTGAAAGGAGTAGTGAGTTGGAGTAATTTGCGAATGACTGCAAATGTATATAACCTATAGATGAACTTGTTGTTGCAGCAGGAGCCAAGGTTGGTTCTGCGCTCTCTGTCCAGAGCCAGGGGCTGGCCCTACCATGAGACAAGGAGAGGCAACTGCTACAGGTGGCAGGTTCTGGTGGGCTTGGGGCAGTGAGAGCAGCCTCCCGGCTGTTCCTCCTAAGCCCTAGGGATCAGGGCAGGCATAGGCAAACTCGCCCTCCAGATGTTTTGAGACTACAATTCCCATCATCCCTGACCGCTGGTCCTGTTAGCTAGGGATGATGGGAGTTGTAGTCCCAAAACATCTGGAGGGTTGTGTTTGCCTATGACTGGATCAGGGTCATTTTCTTCTGTTGGAGGACAGAGCTGTGTGTTCCATACAGTCTGTTGGTACCTTGGAGATTGCTGTTCCATTGCGGGTGCTGAAGGGAGATCCATGCTTTGCTCCTTTGCTTTGAGGTCCAAAAATTCTTGGGCTGGCCATGTCCAGGGCACTCAGTACTAAATCTGGTGGTCCACTTCTGCCACCATGTGCTCTGGGCAGTGGGACATGCAGGTCCTTCGGAGATGGCGGGGGGGGGAGGGGTTTGCAGACCAGAGATCACAGTTATTAGGTTGCAAGGTTAAAATTCTTTCTAAAATGTACAAACTATTATTGGATAGGAAATGAAGGAGGAGTTGGTCAAGTCATCAATGATTTAGTTGGGCTAGGGCTAGGGAACACAATATTGATTTAAACTTATGGGAACATCTATGGACAAACAACTTCAAATTCATGGCATGCTATACTTTAAAGGAAAACCATCTAAAGATGGTCCACAGGTGGTATTTAACACCAAATAGGCTGGCAAAGATGTTTAAATCATAGAGTGATAAATGCTGGATTACACTGAGTGGATGTGGGAGGCAATTCCTAGGCCCTCTGTGGCTTTCTATATGTTATTTTCATCTTATGGTTATGCCTCTCCTTTCTTCCATCATGGAGCGAGTGGTTCCCAGGTAGTTCTCCCACCCAGGTACAGACTGGACCCAGGTGGCTGCTGCAACACATGCCCTCGACTCTCTAGTTGGCCTCGCCAGCTGTTTTTGATCAGAATTGAGCCCAATTGCCTTTAGTCCCTCAACCCATTGGTCCTTGAGGTGACAGGCCTCTGTATCTGTTCCATCAAATAAAAGAAGGAGACCCTAATGCTAAATTATTGGCTTCCACCCCAAATAACTACACACATTGTGTATTCCGCTTTGAGTTCACACCAGATTCCAGAACCGTCTTTAGAGAGAGAGAGAGAGAGAGAGAGAGAGAGCAGAAAAGATCTCACTTCACTGTCCACTTCACAGGGTTGATTGAAACCAGGTGAAATCCAGCTCTATTAAAACTAAATTGGGGGGTGGGCTGTTTTGTCATTGGCTACAGGGGAGTGTGTCTGCTGCTGGATGAAATAGGTGCAAAAATGGATCCGTGGTAGTCTGACCACAAAGCTGAACTATGTGGCAGGTGTCATTTGGAAATTTGGAAGCTGTCCTGGGAGAAATGCAAACTCTGCAACGGAGGAAAGCTTTCTCCCTGCAGTTGACCATAAATGCAAAAATGATTTACACATAATGAAATGTTATATGAAGAAGAAATTTAAGTCCAAATCCAGATCACAGTGTAGTGTTACTATAGCTGGGGTTGCCATGTGTCCTCTTTATCCAGGACAAGTCCTCTCTTTCAGGGATAAAATGTCTGTCCGGGTGGATTTTTCAAATTTGCCAAAATGTTTACGGCGCTACTTTCTGGATGAGACACAGACATAACTGGTGACTGAAGACTTGCTTTCCACTTCTCTTCTCCTGCCCCGCTCAGAAATATATCACAGCTTCTATAGCCCACATATAGTAGGGGGTATGTAAAATGAGAGTCGTCATAGCCTCCTCTTTTTTGCTTTTCAAAATCTGGCAAGCCTATCACATGTGCGCTCACTTTCTGTATGCATGCTTTGAAGATGCATTTTTGTCTGTGGTGCCATACTTGTGCATAGGGTATATGTGCAATATAGAGAGAGAGGGCTGTAAGGACACACACACCCCCAAAAATCCCTCCTCCCAAACACCAGCCGTCTCCAAGCCCCTGGATCATAACATGATTCAATTTAGATACAAGTTTCCCGTGACTTTCATGTATATATTTTTACCCTTTGAAAGGGCTCTGAATTTTGGAGCAAAGACCACTTAGTTCAATGAAGCTTGCTTTTCAGTAGTTATGGGCTGAGCTGCCTAGATGTTTGCAAGAAAGGGTGTGTGGTAGGCATGGCAAAAGATATGTGCTTTCATCCCTAAGAGACACTTGATGACATCACCTCTCTCACTAATAGTGTATTCTAAGCAACAGGAATCAGCAAGGCGAATTTACACCATAGACTTAAACTGGTTTAATAGCCTTTCACTCTCTCTGGGAAAGCCTGGGAACTGGAATACAGATATGCCTGAAGAAGGACCCTTAATATCCTTATTAAACACAGTTAACTATCACGTTAAACAGGTGTATAAACAATATGTTTGTAGTAGAAATCTGCCCATACTGGGAGGTAGAGGAATCAGTTACCTTTATTCATGCTTTCATTTTTAACACCTATTCCAGCCTTCGTCAACCCGGTGCCCTCCAAATGTTTTGAGCTGCAACTCCCATCAGCCCCAGCCAGCACATCATTGATGGGAATTGTCGTCCAACGCAACTGGAAGGCACCAGGTTGACCTTTTCAAAATATATTTATTGGAATATATTTGATGGCCGCTTCACTTTCACACATGTGACCTTCAACCGAAACTGCAAACTGCAGCTAGTTGTAGCTTTCCAAGAACTCTGCCTGTATGAGTGACGTGCATGCTGCAATTCTGTTTTACATTTTTAAATAATGTGCCGAAGGTTTACCATATTTTTTGCTCTATAAGACTCACTTTTTCCCTCCTAAAAAGTAAGGGGAAATGTGTGTGCGTCTTATGGAGCGAATGCAGGCTGCGCAGCTATCCCAGAAGCCAGAACAGCAAGAAGGATTGCTGCTTTCACTGCACAGCGATCCCTCTTGCTGTTCTGGCTTCTGAGATTCAGAATATTTTTCTTCTTGTTTTCCTCCTTCAAAAACTAGGTCCGTCTTGTGGTCTGGTGCGTCTTAGAGAGCGAAAAATATGGTAATTAATATGAAGAAGCCACTAGTCCTCACTGGGATTAGCCAGACTTGGGGGTCTTTTCACATTATGCGCAACAAACCTCATGGCACCTGAGACGGAGAGCTAGGAGCCATGACAGCTTTTTGGCACACGTGTTCGTAAAACGCATTGCCTTCGAAACGCGTGCTTGCCACCCACAACATGATACAGACATAACCTCTAGAAGTCTTCCCCCACCATCTGTACTGTAGGATCAGAGAAAGACCCACTTCCTTCCCTGCTGGAGGGGAAGGGAGATGTCTGTGTGCACAATTCAGTTTCTACTGACTGCAGAGGGAAGCTCCTTTCTGCAAATGGCTGTTCTCCATGCCTTGCGGAAGTTTCACTTGGTGGAAACGCCCAAGGCTTTCTGACTGCTAAGAGAGGTGATCTCTTGCAACAGAGGAGCCTTCTCTTCAATGCTCTCTCATAGATGAAGCAGCAAAGAGCAGTCCTGTTACACTCAGGGCTTGTCTACGCTTCTGTTTTTTAGCACTAGATCAGAACAGACGGCACTCTGCGGAATAAATTGCCATTTATTCTAATTCAGCTCTGAAGTTCGGGTTTCCTGGGAGAAAGTGGCGGGGGGGGGGGAGATAGAGGATGAGCCCTTAGTGAGAAATTTGGGGAGTGAGGTGGCCAAGCAGATAGGCATCTCTCCTTAGTACTGTAGCTCTGAAGCCACTGTGGTCTAGTGGCTGTGGAATATCATCTGCTCCGAACGGTTGACCACAAATCAGCACGCTTTTCATTCTGTGTACTTTTGCCTAGATGCTATTTTTGTATTAGGTGGCTGAGCAATCAAAGAGATAAGGAAGAGGTTAATGGGATGTGGCTGCTTTCTTTAAAGACAAATCTGCCTAACATTTGCAACATTAGTAGGACTTACATTTATTTATTTTGGGGTTTTCTATTTAGAACTGATCAGTGTGGACAACAATATACCATATTTTTCGCTCTATAAGATGCACCAGACCACAAGACGCACCTAGTTTTTGAAGGAGGAAAATAAGAAAAAAATTATTCTGAATCTCAGAAGCCAAAACATCAAGAGGGATCACTGTGCAGTGAAAGCAGCAATCCCTCTTGCTGTTCTGGCTTCTGTGATAGCTGCACAGCCTGCATTCGCTCCATAAGACGCACACACATTTCTCCTTTTTAGAAGGGAAAAAGTGAGTCTTATAGAGCAAAAAATACGGTAAATCACACAATGAGTAAAGCGAACTTAGCATGATTATGCGCCACCAAATTTATTTCATTTTTAAAAAGCAGCAGTGCCTCAGTAGGCAATGATGCCAAACATTTAAAATGCTTGCAGCCCAGAACAATATTAAGAAGCAACATTTACTTTGCTATTCAAAAGCAATATTTAGAAGAGGAAAAAACAGGAAGGATATAACACATTCCTCAGCTGCTTCTTTCCTTCCTCTCTTCCCCCCCTTCCTCCTCCTCTTTTTCCTGATAAGCAAAACTTTTAGTATTCAAAATTAAAACAAGCAGAAACCACTGTGAAGCAGCTGGTGGGCAATGACCTGGGGTACCATGACCCGACCCAGACCCCATGATCATCACCTGAGGCCCTGCTTTGTGTGCTTCCTCTGTGAGAGGTCTGGAGGGTGGGAATACGAAATTGGGCCTTTTCTGTGGTGGCTCCCCATTTGTGGAATGCTCTTCTCAGCAAGGCTCTTCTGATGCCTTTGTTACATATCTTAGGTGTCAGGCAGAAGCATCCCTCTTCCCCCAGGTACCAAAATGGCAGCATGAAATAGTGGTTGTGTTGAACCATCTTGCCTATGATTTGGATTCTACCATAGAACCCTTTTGGTTCTGCCATTACTAAACAAAATCTGTGACTCTGCAACTTACAATGAATAGGACACCCTGGCTGTGGAATATTTTTCCCACTGAACCTAGGCAGGTACCCACAGGGGTTAGCTTTTGGAGCTAGGTAAACTGTCAAGGACCCTTTACCTTTACCTTTACCTTTACCTTTAAAAGCATTCCACTAGGCCTTTTGAGCTGGCCTAATACTGGCCTAGGATTGGGAAGGACAGATGGAGGAACGTTATATACGAAACTGAGTTCTGAATTTTTTTATTTGCTGGGGTGGGTGTGTTAATGGCTGTTAGTGATGTGGAGTTATACCTCGTGACCACCCTTTAATCAGGTTACGATGAAGGGTGGAATTAACTGGGGAGGGAAAGAAGGAAGTTGTGTGTGTGTGTGTGTGTGTGAGAGAGAGAGAGAGAGAGAGAGAGAGAGAGAGCGCGAGCTTCTCATTATATAGGGGAAAGTGTTAGAATTCTTACATCAAATAATGGGTTACTCCACTGCCCATCACCAATAATAATAATAATAATAATAATAATAATAATTTATTATTTGTACCCCGCCCATCTGGCTGGGTTTCCCCAGCCACTCTGGGCAGCTTCCAACAAAGACCAAAAATACACTAAAATATCACACATTAAAAACTTCCCTGAAGTTTTCCCTATGTAAACTATCCTATTTGCAGTAAGTTCTATTAACTTGGGGTACATTTAAAAAGATCACCCCTCTCCCCATAGTCTAAAATGGTACAATCCTGTCCAACCACTCACAGCTGCCCTGCACAAACCTAGCCTCCATCGCATAACTTTGGGCGGTAGAAAGTCATGACCTAGCCTTGGGAAGTCAGGGAGTCCAGAACATCATGGAGACTCAGGGTGGCCTTTCAGAGGACTGCGCCTCTTGGATGGTGCAAGGGTGTTGTGTTCGAGGGAGGAAAAGCTGGAACTGACACACACATAAGCACACGCCCCATTTGAAACCAGGCTGTTTGAAAGCAAATGCCATTGATTCCACTGGAGAATGCTTTCCCTTGCATGCGCCTCGGATGGAGGCCTTTAATGTCAGCCCAACCCTACTGTGACTCTGAAGGGGAAGCAGGGACAGGGTTGCTCAGCTTCCTACCTGACTGCTCCCCATTCAAAGACCTGATCCTGTAGGTGGGCTGGAAGAGGAAAGAATACGCAGCTCATTTAAAAGAACAAGCTTGCTTCCCTCCCACCCAATTGCTCCCTTAATTGTTAAAACCCCCCTCCCTTTCTAATACTCTGTTCTTTTTAATTAAGGGCTTGACTTCAATAGGACTTAAGTGGAGGTCCTTTGGGTACCCTAAGCTGGCAAGCTCACGGGCTTGGGAGGGGCTTCTCTCCTCTCCCCCACCCACCCACCCTTTCCCCAAAGTGGCCTTCTTAAGCAATTGGGTTTGCTTCGTTCTACATGTGAAATCACTGGTTGGCATCCCTGAGGTCAAGCTGGTGCCATATAGGAGGTTCCAACTCTTACATTCCTTTTCGTGGTCTGAGATACAAGCGTTGGTGATGATCCCTTGCTGTATTAAGGCTGTGGAGCCTCTCTTGCCTGGTACAGAAAACCAGTGTTCGGGGAGTCTCAAATATGAGGAGCTGAGAGAAGGGGGAGAGTACAATGGAACAGTCAAATCATATCTGGCTGCTGAGGGCTCACATCTCATGATCATCAACCTTGGTCACCTTGACTCAAACCGCAGCTCTTGGCTCCCATTGACCAGTCACAGGTGATAAACCATCACAGAATCTCAAATTGCAGGCTGAGAAGCCTCCAAGCTAGACATGTGTTGGCTTTGCTTCCATGATGCCACAGCACCATCAGAGCTGTCGCCATATTTTTCTCCTTCAGCTGAATGAATGAATGAATGAATGAATGAATATCCTTCTTAGGTAAAAACAAAAAAATACCAAAGGAATTTTGATGGGAGCAAAGAAATTGGGAAGACTAACTGAAAAGTTCACCCAAAAAATATTAAGGCAGGTTATTCATCGAGTTGAATTGTAGGTGTTGTCTGCCTCTCACCAGAGCCTGCTGTGCTTTGGGAAGTCCAGGGTATGCTAAAGGTAATCTTTCCATTCAATGAGCAAAGCTGATCAGATATAGGATTAGAGTTGTCATGAAAAGCAAAGTTCTGAAACAAATATGCTCCTTGCTCCCTGAAACCTGCCGTTCAAACCACGCACTGCGTTGTGGTGAGCCAACGTTGACTCTTGACCTGCTTGAAGAAAGCACACAAGGAATTTTGAAGGAAGGAAAAAAGAGATTTGATCAGAGCAGTGGCCTTTATCCGTGGAATTCCTCCTGCCCTTAAATTCTACCTTCTAGCTTGAAATCAGAGCCATTGTCACGTACAACTTTGCTGCGATTTACATGACTAACGAGCGTTCTTCTTCTGTTCCCGCTTTTTCCTATTGGTTTTCCAGGTGTGGTTCAAAAACCGGCGCGCCAAGTGTCGCCAACAGCAGCAGCAGCAGCAGAATGGGGGCCAGAACAAAGTGAGGCCGGCAAAGAAGAAGAGCTCTCCAGCCCGAGAAGTGAGTTCAGAGAGCGGGACCAGTGGGCAGTTCACGCCTCCAACCAGCACCTCAGTCCCTACCATCTCCAGCAGCAGTGCCCCAGTGTCCATCTGGAGCCCTGCCTCCATCTCCCCACTCTCTGACCCCCTGTCCACCTCTTCTTCATGCATGCAGAGGTCTTACCCTATGACCTACACTCAGGCTTCTGGCTACAGCCAAGGGTACGCTGGCTCAACCTCCTATTTTGGAGGGATGGACTGTGGATCTTATCTAACCCCTATGCACCACCAGCTCCCCGGACCGGGGGCTGCCCTTAGCCCCATGGGCACCAATGCCGTTGCCAGCCATCTCAACCAGTCTCCGGCTTCACTCTCCACCCAGGGCTATGGGGCTTCAAGTTTGGGGTTTAACTCGACCACCGATTGCTTGGATTATAAGGACCAAACAGCCTCCTGGAAGCTAAACTTCAATGCTGACTGCTTGGATTATAAAGACCAGACGTCCTCCTGGAAGTTCCAGGTTTTGTGAAGACCTGTTAGGAACCCTTTTGCGCTCGATGATGACGATTGATAACAATAAGGATCGTGAAGATGTTGTCAGGACAGACGAGACAAGTGCCCATGGCAGGTCGAACATTCCAACTTGTAGTCAGGTCTTTTGGTTTTAAATTAAAAGAGAAACGTGAGCAGGACGCAAGTAAATAAACAACTTAAAAGACAAGAAAGACAGTGTGCCGTGATCTATTCTGCCGATTTAATCTCTCGCTCTGAAGCTCTGGAAAGGAAGAGAAGAAGGAAGGACACCTTATGGGGGCAGACTCACAGCCCACTATGTTCTTAATAGTTTTAGCCTATTTGTTGAGTTCCTTTGTCTGAATGGGATGGAAGATCTTTCCAACTATGGGCCAAGTTTTTCGTGGGGTGGGCTGGATTGGTTGTGTGTGTGTGGTTTGTTTTTTTAAAGGAAAATGTCTAGATTTTTTCTTTTTTCTTTCTTTTTTTGTGTGTATGGGGAAGAAAACACACCCTTTCCTCTCTCCTCCTCCCCAGTTTGTCATCCAACCCTTTGGTTCAAAACATTTAAAACAAAAAACAAAAAAAATGGACAATGTCTATATCTCTCTCTCTCGAGCTCCTTTAATTGCTTCCGAGCCAGCGTTTGGCAAAGTTGGCCACAGGAGAATCCAGGAAACAACACAAAGAAAGAACTCGGTTCAGAGCAATGTGGGGTTGTGAGTCTGATTGTCTTAGCTGCACTACTTTATTTAAGAGGGGGAAAAAATAAGAATAATGTCCATAAGGAGTCAATATGTAGTTTTTAAGAGACAATCAGTGTGTGTCTTATATAAATGGTACATATGTGGTTTTTAATCTGTGCTAGACTTTAAAACTGTGATCTCCTGTATTGTATGCAACCATAGACCCCGTGCCAGCAGGGGGTTCTGCTGTGATTTTAAATAGGTTATAATTAACAGTGAAATTTGAGCAAGTGAATTACATATGACCACTTCTCTTTCTCTCTCTCTTTTCATTCTTTCTTCCTTTCTCTCTCTCTCTCTTTTTTTTAAAAAATTGCCTTTCACCAGAGGTAAACTGCACTGAAAAAAAACAAAACAAAAAACCTTTTTACAACAAACTGTCTCTGAATGAATGAATGAACCACGAGATTTGGAAAACAAACCCTGTCAATAGATCAAAAATACACAAGGACTTTAAAATTCATCTGCTTAACAATAGCTTACTGTTGGGGGAGGGGGTAAGGAGACAAATATTTAAGACATTGGTCAATTGCTCTGACCTTGAATTTCCAAAAGGAGAAATTCATTGTTGTTTTTAATGCTTGCAGATGTGCAATTGAAAAAAAAAGAGAAATATATGCATAAACCTTTTCTTTTCTGGATTTGGCAGATATGTATAATTATATTAAAATGGTTCTAGCACAAGCAATGGTCGTGTCTTCCGGTTTCCTTGCAAAGGCACTTTTTGAAATCTGGATTCACTTTTTTGGGAGGGGAGGAGGGGATCCAGGAAGGGAGAGAATTGGGTGATGGGTTAGGTAGGTCAGGGTACGTCTTGCTGGGCTGTAATGCCAGGAAATATATATATATTCAGATAAGCTCCCTGTGATTCGTTTTGGGAGCATTTGTGGGTTGCCAAACCAACAAACTGATCTCTCCACACCGGAGACAGGAGCCAGATCTTTGATTCGGAGCTACTGAGTATTTTTGGGTGGTTAGGTTAGGAAATGAACTGGACTTCTGTAAACGTCTTTTTTTGTGGTGGGGTGATATTTGTTAGGGCAGAGTAGAAAGCTGTGGTGTATGTGCGAGTGGGACTTTTTTGTAGATTAATTTAGGGGGTTGAAAGGGAGAGGAGGGGAGATAAAGGAGGGTGGGAGAGATCCTGGGGAGGGGAGGAGGGGGGCGAAAAGGGTGTTTGAGCAGCTCCTATAAACTTTCTAAGAAGGGATAGGATGTACTCGGAACAGGAGAACCAGTCACGCAGAAGTGATGTCCGGACAAAGGAGTTTGGGAAAAGTTTTTGAAAGCTATGATTTCTACAGCTGGACACAAAAGACCCTCGAGCGCTCCCCACCGCCGCTCCCCGCCTCCCCCCCCCAAACTGCTAGGAAAATCGTTTCCTCTTCAGGGCTGAGAAATTGTCTTCCCGGGTTTCTCATTTAAATTAAGTTTCAACGAGTTTCCAGCTTTCCTTTCTTGTTTGCTTAAAAAAGTCCGGGGTGGGGGGAGAGAGAGAACCCTTCAAAAATATCCCCCACCTCCACCCTAAGGACCGCGATCTTCTAGCCATCTTTCATCTGCGTCCTGTTTCCGGGGTGGACGCCCAGTGCAATTTATTAAGAGGGCAAAGTGATGGCGATGGAATCAATGCCGAGTTTTGATCTTTTATTTTGATTTTTATTAAACGGCAAATGAGCTGCTAAGCAGGGAGGGCACCGAATGAATAGGATGAAATCCGAACAGGTTAGCTTCTATTATGGGCTGTGGATTGCGCTGGGATATATAATACATTTAAAGAGTTAGCTCATTTTAATGCCTTCAAAAAGAGAAGAGAGAGAGAGAGAAAGAAAAGAGAAAATCCACAGAAAGGGCCCAGTGGCGTGATGCGCTGCTCCTAAATGCGTTCACACGAGGCAGAGTTCCCGTGGATTTTTTATTTTTTTAAAAAAAAAACTGGCTTCCAAGTTAACATGGGTTTAGACGTCCTGATCTCTTTCAATCCATTATTATTAATTTCAGTAGGGGCTAACCTCTTGCCGAAGTTATTTATCAAATTGTTTATTTGCTATTCCCACACCCCACACCCATCGTACCCATTGCATTCCCCGCGCGCCCCCCAGCAAAAACTCTTGCAACCATTTTATATTCCTAGAATCTCGACCTATTAGGTGGGTAGATTTTGGGGAAAGGTGGGGGGTTGAGAAAGAGAGAGGCAGGCATTGGAAACGATTCCTTTTCTTCCAAGCAATAGGAATTTATCCTTTGGGCTGGTGCGTGCCCCGTACATCCCAAGTCAGATTATCCTTTCCAAATAAACAAAGCCCCGACAATCAGATCGCAAATAAACGGAGGTGCGTGAGGGCTTCGCTCCCCCAGTCGAGGATGTGTGTTGATGTTAGTTGATGGCATTGGCTGGGGAGGAAAGCGTCCTTTTTGATATTATCTATCTGGAAAACGTAAAAGATAGAAAACGTACGTCAGTTGGCGCAGCTCAGAATCCCTTTTTAATTTTTGCTTTTCGCTAACCAGTTCGATTTTAACGCGCGAGGAAGACGTCGGGTGGAGTTCTCTAGCAATTTAAGAACGGTTGCTGGGAAAGAGAGAGAGAGAGAATTTATTTTTAAAGTCTAAAAGATGAAGAATTCAGTGCTGCTTAGCAAAAGTTATCCAAAGAACCCGCGCTATAGGCGATCCGCAGCCACCCCGAATATTTTACTACTTGCATTTCTCACCAAAGGGGTTTATTTCCCCAAATAGTCGTGCATACCGGATTAAAGTGAGACTGGTTCGGCATCTTGCTTGTAATTTCTGTTTTATTTTTAACGATTTAAAGCAAAAGTTTGCAGTTAGCAACAGTAAATTAGCCTCGGGTTAACCTGTCTGAATTTAAGGCTATAATCCCGGGCAGTGGCGCTCAGTGAATTCCATGAGATTTACTTCCGAGTAACCCTAGGCCACGGCCACTTACTTGGAAGGGAAGTGCTAAATGCCAGGGAAATAGATGGAGCGCCAAATACACCCAACAGACTTTTTTGGCTCCCCAAAGCTGCCCTGATTAACCTCTTAAGTCTTTTTCTTGCTTTTGCTGCAGAATTCTAACCCCTCTGGAAATAGAATCGAACAGGTGACCGTCAATTGCTTTTTTTTTTTTTTGTCGTCTTGGTAATTAATTTCATTTTTAGGGTTATTTCCCTTCTCTCTCCACCCTGCCCAGGAAAAGGCTATATTCCCTTTCTCTCTTCTCTCCCGCCCACTCATCCTTCGTGTACTGTATAATGTACATTATAGTCAACCCTCCTGCGGATTCGACGGCTGAAATTTGGTAAAATATATCATCTGAATAGTTGCGGGAGGGAGAGAGATTCGAAGGAGTTTGAGCCTGAGGATTAGGCTATTGATTCCCGCTCACTTAGGCACGTTTCCTTGTTCCACGTTTCTTTGCCTTTTCCCTTGGATTCCAAAATGACAAGTTGCCGAATGCAGAGAGTTGATTTTAAAACACGCGCATATATACACACGATTGTATTAGGTTTCTGCTGGAAAAAGAAGGGGAAGAAGGTGTATTTGGGGAGGGGGGCGCGTGGAAAGGCCCGCTGGATCACGCGCCCCATGATTACTTGGGAGTAAAACCCCATGAAATGCAGCGTGAGTTCCTCCCGAGCAGGCTTTCATATGTTTGTGGCTGAACAGATATTTCATTTCTGAATCACCATCATTATTTGAGTAGTTACATGAGCGATCTCATACTGTTATAAGCATGCATTTCCTCTGTAAACAGGGATAATAAGATCGAGTAGAAGAATTGAAGTGTAAAGCAAATGGTTTCTCTTTGAAACGCACCTCCTCTGGGCACTTTGATTTTTGTATCAATATTTCTTTTAAAAAAACAAACAAATACCACACGCCACCTGTATTTTATTAAAATCTACCCCCCCTTGCATTGCTCTCTTCCACCGCCTCCCGCCCCCCCCCAAAAAAACTTGGCCAGAATAACTTTTTTCTCTTTTTGCGCAAGCTAATGCGGAAACGTGAAATTCACCTTCAGCCTGGTCAATTTCAAACTGCAGGCTAGCTTTTCAAATCTAAAAAGGGGATTGCCTTTAAATCCGTTGGGCGAAAAGTGTGTGGAGGGGGGGGGAGGCGGCAGAAGAGAAATACCCCCCTCTCTAAGCTCTGCTAGAGCCTGTGGAGGGATTTCCCTGCCCCCAGCCCCCTCGCCGATTCCCTCTCTTTCTCTCTCCCCCTCTCCAGTTCCTTAATATCATTTGTTTTCGTTTGAAACAAAAGAGACATAAATCCCTTCTCCCCACCAAGCGCTAAGGAGTATTGCCCGTTTCCAAGGAGACGCAAAGAACAGCTATTTATTTATTTTAAATCCGGTGTTATTTACTCCTCGCTGCTGTTGCCTTCTTGTATTTATCCTTCTGATTTCAGAAATTTGAGTTCAGGGCATTCCTGAATCAGTAAAGCGACGCGAGTTTGATTCCACGCACATTCACTTTCTCTCCAAGAGAATTTCTTTCTTTCTTTCTTTCTTAGATGGCGGACGAGGACGGAGGAGAGAAATCTGTGAAATGAAAGAAGCAGGCATCGGAAAGAATTCCAGAGAGCCGGCAGAAGAAATAAAACGCCTAAAGCAATAGGGAATGGATGTCCTACGGATGCGCCTTTTTGCAGAAATGGCACAACAACTTATCTTCCAAGAAGTTTCATAGGATACATACAATGCAATACAAAATAAGTCTGTGTGAAATATAGAGGTGCACACACACGCACACGGGCAAACTATATTTTGTTGTTGTTGTTGTTTAGTCGTGTCCGACTCTTCCATTTGCTAATTTAGATAGATCGAATCCTCACCGGGTGACCTTGGACCAGTCCCTGCGTCTCCGACTAGCCTACCTAACAGGGTTGTTGAGAGGAATAACATGGGGAGGGGACAACCATGCGCGCCACCTTGAGCTCCTGGGAGGAAAAGTTGACACACAGGGAGTCAGGAACACCCACCCAGAGCCCTTGTGCCTTGAGTTCCGTAGGGGACCTTAGCTAAGGCACAGTGTATGGGAATCATTCGACTGATCTACATTACAGGATTGTTGTACGGACTGCGGGAAGCGCTTTGGATTATTGGAAAGCGCAAGACGGATTCCAAGGTTCCTGACTGTCCTCTGCCCTCAGCCTTTAGTCTGCTGGAGAGGCTTTGCCACTTGCACCACCGTAGTTCGAGGACTCCGGTCTCCTTCTCCCACGAGGAAGTCGATGGGAAACAGTGGGAGACGTCCAAATGCTGAACTTCTCGGTCTCTCCATCCCCCCAAAGCGTCTCGCCCCTGGTATGGTGCCATCTCTGAGCTACCCTTGTGGGGAGGTGGTGGTGGGGCGACCCCCTGAAACTACACCACGCTCTCGTGCATGTGGTTGCTGAGAAAAGGGAGGGGGGAGGCCCGGACCGGAGGATTATAAAAATGAGAAAATGAAAGGCTTGGGAAAGGTAGGACAACAGAGCTTAAATGGACCAAGGGTGATTATTACAGTCTGCTTTTACGCACACGCGCGCACACGTTTCGGTGCTGTGAAGATCAGCGGGCTGTTGCTAAGGAGCGCATATTCTTCCCAAGTACACTGGACTTGGTGCCATCCTAAGCACATCAGGGCTTGCTCCGTGTTTAGGATCGCAAGCTGTTTTTGGCAGGGGTGGGGAGCGGCTGGTGTCATTCCGAGGGTTTGGTAAGCCGCCTTGAGAGTCAAGTGAGCCAGAAAGGCGACATACAAAGTTATAAAGAAGCAAATAAATTAATTTAGGCGAAGATAATGTAATGTAATGCAATGCAGTCTATACTATACTATACTATACTATACTATACTATACTATACTATACTATACTATACTATACTATACTATACTATATAGCAATGGAGATTATTATATCCCTTTGCTTTCCTAACTTCTCCACGCTTTAAGCATCACAACCTTAAGGGGAGCACATATCTAGGGTAAACCCCCAGCGAGAAAAACGTTCTAAGAGCGAACAGGTGCTGAGTGTTGATGGCTGTATAGCCATAACCTGAAAAACAAGAGGGGGGGATCAGCGTCTTCAAGGAAGACCAGGGCTTGCAGAATTGTAGTTTAGGAGGGAAGCCATAAAACATGCCCCACACATACACAGTGAGGACTAACTGTGTTCAATGGTCATGGGAATTGTAGGGGGGTTAGGTTACATGACCCCTGGGGTCCCTTCCAGCTGTACAAGTTATGCATGTTGGCTGACTGTTGGGGGTGAGGCAGAAAAGGAACGGGAGAGAAGAGGGGATGATCTAGCTCGGAGAAAACCGCTTGCCTGGAGCCCTTTGCAGGAGCCCTCCTCTAAGGCGGGAGGAACCACTGCAACAATTTGTTGCAGGTTCCGCTGCTTGTTTCCTGGCGAAGGGAACCCGCAACCGTTCGATCCGCTCCAGGAGGGTTCAGCGGGGGGAGTTGCAGCCATTGCAAACCCGCATCGGCGCACACCCTTGTTTCCAACAGGGACAGAGGCGCGGCAAGATCTTTCGGGACCTTTCACTGGTAGCTGACTCTGGCTCCTGAATCTTACATTTCAGGTCTTTCCGCTTTCCATACCCGCCCATGGCAAAAACATTTGAAAAGCAGCAAGGCCTGTTTTGTGCCCATTATACAGATGGGGCAAAGAAACTGAGGTTGGCAGAACGCCAGGAAGAAAGACTGGAACCAGAGACTGTGCGCAGAATGGAGGGGTGTTGGATTGATATCGAAGACCCGAGGTCCTTTCCTACTGCCCCCCCCCAGGATGGCAACATTACAAAGCCCTCCTCCCCAATTCAGGGTCACACACAGCCAAGCACAGGTATGCTTGAATTGGGTCGATACATTTTTGTTTATGGAGCAGGAAAACAGTGGGGGCTCTTGAGCGCTTGGTAACTGTGTCGGTAGGCTCTTAATCTCAGGGTCGTGGGTTCGAGTCGCAAGATGGGCCAAAGATTCCTGCGCTGCAGGAGGTTGGACTAGGTGACCCTTGGAGTCCCCTTCCAACTCCACAATTTTAGGGTTCTCAAACCCGCAGCCACAGCCACACACAACAGCAAGAGCATCCAAGACTTCTCCCGCTCTTGTATATGTTATCTGAACAATGAAATCTAGTGGATTTGGTCTTGAATACAGTTAAAGCGTTTCTCCGAAGGTGCTTTTCCAGTGCCTGGCTAGTTCAGTCGGCAAAACGTCAGACACTTAATCCCAGGGTGCTGGGTTCGAGTTCCATGTGTTGGGTTTTTTTTCCGGGAAGGACTGTAATTCTGTGGTAGAGTATCTGCTTTGCACACACAAAGTCCCACGTTCAATTTTCGGCATCTCCAGGTAGGTCTGGGAGGAGGAGGCCTCCTGCCTGAAGCCCTGGAGAGTCACTGCGAGTCAGTGTAGACAATACTGAATCAGATGGACCAATGGTCTGATTCAGTATAAGGTGGCCTCTTCTGTTCTTTAGAAACATCCCAGTGGTGATGTATGGAAGTGAAAGCTGGACCATAAAGAAGGCTGATCGCCGAAGAATTGATGCTTTTGAATTATGGTGCTGGAGGAGACTCTGAGAGTCCCATGGACTGCAAGAAGATCAAACCTATCCATTCTGAAGGAAATCAGCCCTGAGTGCTCACTGGAAGGACAGATCCTGAAGCTGAGGCTCCAAGACTTTGGCCACCTCCTGAGAAGAGAAGACTCCTGGAAAAGACCCTGATGCTGGGAAAGATGGAGGGCACAAGGAGAAGGGGACGACAGAGGACGAGATGGTGGGACAGTGTTCTCGAAGCTACCAGCATGAGTTTGACCAAACTGCGGGAGGCAGTGGAAGACAGGAGTGCCTGGCCTGCTCTGGTCCAGGGGATCACGAAGAGTCGGACACGACTAAACGACTAAACAACAACAACACGATTCATTTGCAAAGAGGCAATTGTGAAAAATTCCGTTGTTTTCAATGAGCTGGCGAGTCCCTTGCTTAAATGTCTCATTTGAATTCAGTGGCACTGAAAAGCACTAAATTTGGGGCGCTAGAACTTCTTCTCCATTACTCCCAGGGAAAGGACAATGGCATTCGCTCAAATTTCTCTTAGATGGTCCTCTGGATGAATATGTATTGCTTTGTTGGAGAGTTGCTCCTAATTCTGTAATAACACGACACTTAAGAACAGCAGTACGCATTGTCATGCGCACACGGGTATGGACGTCCTTGGCCGATGATGCCAACTAAACAATATATATTCAATTTACAAACCGCTCTTTGTGAAAATCAACCCCAGACGACCACACAATAAATCCTATTTATTTATTAAAAGTATTTAAGTACCACCCTTTCACAAAATTCCAAGACTCCACAGCAAAACAAATACTTTTGGTTTGTTTGTTTGCTTTTTTAAAAAGGAACTATTAAAAGCAATATAAAACAATGATTAGAATGACTGGGCACTCAAGGAAAAAAATAAATCAAATAACAGCATAAAAACAAGGGGAAGGGCTGTGACTCAGAGCATGATACGGACCTCCTATGTAGGGTTGGGGATTCGAGATCCCTGTGTGAAAGCTGCTGCCAGCCCGTGTAGACAATATTGAGCTAGATGGACCAAGCGTCTGTCTTGGTTAGGGTGGCTCCCCCATTTCATTTTTAAATAAGAAGTTTCTTCAGAATCTTGTTTTTAAAGTCAGGGTATAGCTCAGTGATAGACCACTTGCTTTGCATGCAGAAAGTTCTGCGTTCAAGCCCCATCCCAGCTCCTGCTGGGAAAGTCCTTTGCCTGAAACCTTGGAGTGCTGCTGCCAGTCCATGTGGACAGTACTGAGCTAGATGAATCAGCCCTCTGACCCCGTATAAGGCCGTTTCTTTTGTTCCTGGGTGTTCCTGCTCCACCCACGCAGAGCTGGACGGAGTACCTGCGAAAAATTTCTTTCTTTTTTTTAATATATATAATTTTTATTAAAATTTTTCATTATATCAATTCCAATATCAAACAAATTTTCACAAATTTCAATTTTTGGACTTCCATCAGCTTCACTGTCAAACATCCATATTTTCCCATTTTTACACATTTTCTAAGTTTAATATTGCATTTTAATATTACTTTTTCAATCCTCTTTCTGTTTAACAATATTCCTCTACCTTTCACAAAGCCTCTTTAAATCCCACTAGCGTTGTTTGTTCATCACATATACTTTTCAGATATTCAGTAAATTTTCCCCAGTCCTCGATGAACTTGTGGTCCCATTGATATCTAATCTTCCCAGTTAGTTTGTCCAGTTCAGCATAGTCCATAAGTTTCATTCTCCATTCTTCAAGTGTCGGTATTTCTTCCTGTTTCCATTTTTGGGCCATTAATATTCTTGCTGCTGTAACTGCGTATTGAAAGAGTTTATTGTCCCTTCTATTTATTTCACTTCCTATTATTCCTAACAGAAATGCTTCTGGTTTTTTTACAAATGTATATTTCAACATCTTCTTCAATTCATTATATATCATTTCCCAGAAACATTTCACTATCTTGCACTCCCACCACATATGAAAAAAGGTTCCTTCTTTTTCTTTACATTTCCAACACTTATTGCATGTCTTATACATTTTTGCTAGTTTAACCGGTGTGATATACCATCTATATACCATTTTCATAATATTCTCTTTTAACGCAGTACATGCTGTAAATTTTATATTTACATTCCATACTTTTTCCCAATCATCCAATTGTATATTATATCCCAAATCTTTGGCCCAATGTATCATCACTGACTTTACTTTCTCATCCATCGTTTGCCATTCTAACAACATTTTATACATTTTTGACAATGTCTTATAATCACTGTTAATTATCTCTGTTTGAAATTTCCATCCTTTTTCTGCATATCCACTCTCTTTACAATCCTTTTTGAACATTTCATTTACCTGAAAATAGTGCAACCAATCAAACACAAATTCTTTTACTTGTTCATATGGCTTCATTTTCCACTTTCCTCCTTCTTTAATTATTAATCCTCCATATGTTATCCAATTCCCTCTCATATTTATTTTCTTTACACTCATAACCTCTAATGGGGACAAGTACCTGCGAAAAATTTCGCGCTTGCCAGCACCTCTGAGTTTCGCGGATTCCGACGGAGCAAGCGGGATAGCTCATCACCCGGCCCTATAGGGCTGTGTCTCTAAATCTCGCCTCCGTCTCCGGCCCACTTTTACCCTCTGCTGGCTGAGCCACAAAACGTCCACCCTGTCTTAATTCCAGCTTTATTCTGTGCCACGTGGATCGCTTTGCCAGCTGGGACTGGAGTGAATCAACTTTTTTTATTATTAAAAAAAGTTACAGTTGATTAATCGATGGCAGCTGTTAGACGTTAATGAAGCGGGCACGCTTGCTTGTTTGGGGAGATGACTTTGCTTCATCGGCAATTTACGGTATCTACATTGCCTTACTTTTCAACCCACTCATCGTCTCAAGCAGCAAGGGATCCGCTTTATTTTCCCGAGATCCACCAACGGAAGGCTGGGGCAAACTTGGAAAGGTTTGGGGGGTACCGGTTCCCTGTCTTCCCCTTCAAACAGCTACTGGCTTACCGCCAAACCTTCTTCGTTTCAGCATTTGGAGACGAGAGAGAAGTCATTTCACTGCTACGGTTGGGAGTCACAGAAATCCACCTAGCTGCAGATCCTAGCCAGAGATCTACTAACAGAGATCTGCCTTCTGGTAATGATCTCCACAAGAGGACATTTTTTAATACTCCTTTTTTTTTTTTTTAAATGCTTCCTCTCTGCAGGACATATAGCCAACGGGAAATGACGTTGATGATTGATTGATTGATTGATTGATTGTGTTGTTAATAGTAATAATAATATCTCGAGAAAACCCACATTTCTAACGGTATCTATTCCCCAGGCAGTGAAAACGGGTTACAGGCGGGTGAAATATCCACGCACGCAAAGCCCACTTATTTACTGGAATGAATAATTTGCGCTCCGGCGCGCTGCGCGCAGCTCCTGGCAAGAGGTCCAGCCGCTCTCTCCAAAACACGCGACGGCCAAGTAGTCCAGAAAGAGAAGGGAAGCTTGTCAGTCAAGCCCAGAATACTCCGTTGGGTGTGGCTTGGATGGAAGGCCAAGTAGACAAATCAAGAGTTACCTTCCAGTTATTTCAAACACGCGCACTGGCTGGAATGCAAAAAGAGGGCCCCGATCCACACAATATTTTTAAAGCACATCCAACGCGCATTGAAGGCTCCCTTTAAGAACCTTGGGAACTGTAGTTTTTCAAGGGTGCCAGGTGCTATAGCTGGGTGTTGAAGGGATGGAAACTATAGTTTCAGTGATTCTATTGGGGGAAGCTTTAAATGCGCCTTGAATGTTTTAAAAGTGTGGCGTGACCAACCTCCCGCACACACGTGTTTGGGCAGGAGCCCGATCCTGCACTCCACGGGCAAGCTGCGGGAGATCTCTCTTGTTTCCGGAAGTGAAAATGGGGAATCGAGACTTGATCTAGATAGGTAAATGTCTGGCACGGGTGTTTAAACACGCGCGCGCTTTCTCGGATGACATTTAGACATGGGGTTCTCCCGTGGAGTTCTTACGCAGCAAGGCTGCTCTCACAAGCGCTACGAGAGCGGAAAACAAGCGGGTCCCCCTTTCCTGAAAACATTTATTTATGTAAACTGGTTAGGAACGTTCTCTGCGATCAACTGTTCACTGAGACCCAAGTCACTGAGTGTTAGAGGTCGTGATAGTTCTCCGTCGCTGTTGCCTCTATCAGATTCAAGGAGAGCATGTTTGTGTCTTAAAATGTGTGCGCGTGAAAACCATTCAGCCCAGTTCTCAAACAACTGAGAGAGAGAAAAAAATACCCTTGAAATATATATATACTGGGATCCTGATATGCCTGGCTCAGAGCAGAGGCACGCTGGGGCTGGGCTTAGAATTGCTCACAAGAAGGAAGGAGGAAAGAGCGGGGGAATGAGAGAGAGGAAAGAGGCATGAAATGAGAGTTCTTGGACGCAGTTAGAATTGAGGGGAAGGGCAGTAGCTGAGTTTTAGAGAGTCTGCTTTCCGTACAGAAGGTCTCATGTTCAATCCCCAGTATCTCCAGGCAGAACTCAGAGAGAGACTCCCTGTCTGGCAATTCTGAACTAGATGTCACGGATGCTTTCAACTGAGATTCCTGCATCGCAGGGGGTTGGACTAGATGACCTTTGGGTACCTCCCAACTTCATGATTCTTACTTTTATGGGAAGGGATGTGGGCCAGTTGCAAGGC